AAGAGCAAAACTGAGGTTATCATTTATCCTAGCAGTTTGTGTTGAGCTGATAGTCACTTCAGAGACTGTCCTGGAGCAGGGTTTAAAGCATCTTTGACAGAGCTTTTTCAACCAGCGTCCTGCAACTCCTCAGCTTGTGCCCTCCAGGTGAAGCCTCTGCAGAGCTGCCAGCTGGTGTGTCTGTGTGATGTTCATGGTCTCTGAGCTCTGTGTGTTCACTCCAGTCTCTTCACAGGTCACTCTCCTAGATAGCTCTATTACGGTGGAATTTGTAGCTCTATTTATTTTGCTTGTTTTTAACTTTCATCCTGCAGGCAACAGGGTGAAGATGGAACAACAGATGCTTCCCCTTCCCCCATTTTCTTAACGTGTTCTCTCTAGGTTTTTTCTCTAGGTTTTCAAGGCCTTAGATGTGACTGGTTTACCTGGTAGCTGTAGGCTTCTAAACAGCACACTGAAACAAGCCAGGGGTTCAGTACAACATCTACATTGGATGCACTGTTCAGTGTGTACACATGATGGAAACATTTTCTTCTTGTGGTAGTGCAGTCCTCTCTAGTTCAAGCAAGATATGATTTAAGAGACTGTTTTTGACAGCTAATCTGCCAGAGCTCACACCTCTCTGATGGAGTGATGAGAGGAGCTGTGTAAACTTCTTGTTACGGAGGCAGATCTATTCCCACTGTGTGTCACTTCTTCCCCCAGAAGAGGGAAAAAACAGGTACCTAAACAGAGAGGGTTATCCCTCTTGCAATTTACCATGGCTCTAAAAGACTCGTCCTTATTTCACTCAGGACTTCTTTGTTGCTTTTTCTTACAGAAAGATGATAGAAGAATATGAAGACTGTCAGGTCTTTTGTACAAAGTTACTAGTCTGGTTGTCCAATGCTTAGTTCCAGAAAATTTAGTAAGAGGAAACGAGGTGGTAAAATGACAAATGTCTGGGCAGGCATCTGAGTCTTCTTTTTCCTGAATAGATAACGTGTTTAATTCAGCTGGCAAGCCTCCAAAACAGAAAACACTGTGCAGCTGTCAGCCTCTAGGGCTTTTGGAAAGATTTTGTGATTGATCTGCATATTGATCTCTTTCTTAAAAACATAGATTAAACCCAATCTCTGCTGATCTGACAGGAAGTGGTTGCAGGGATACCAGAGCAATTTTCTCCTGAGTGGGGACAGATGCTGTTACTTGGCCATTGTCACCTTTTCCTGGTTCTTCTATACATTGTGGATACGTTGATCATTTAACACAACCAAAATTGGTTGGTAATATGAAGTCCAGAACTTGAACTAAGTCACTTAAGGGCTAAAGATGTTTGCATGTCTATAATGGTACGAATTTCAACTTTTCTTCCTGCCACCTCCCAGAGAGAGGCATTTGAGGAGAACGTTCCATCCTTGAGTTAGTGTCAGCTACTTGTGTCAGCTTTCTCTAAATGAAACTGTGGTAACTAAAAATCCACTTTCAGACATTCTTTTTGGTGTTATGATCAGTAGCAAGAAGGGAGAATGTAATTATGTAACACATAACTTATTTCAAGATTGCTCATTCGCACAAAAAACCCCAAACACCACCACTACCTTTCAGGCAAAGCTTAGCTCCTATGTACAAGTTCATAAAAGAAATGCCTCACAGCAGTACTAAAGATTTGTTCAGAAGCTTAATGATGTCTGCAAGAACAGACCACATGGTGTCAAAACTGAGTGAAGGAATTAACTATGACAGCATGTCTATCTGGACTTATTCCTACTCATCATTGGCAAAGGAGAGGTTATTAGATCTAAAAGTCATTGGTCAGACATGTTAAGCAGTGTGAATGAGACATTTGTGTTTCTAGAGTGTGTCAGTTCCATGTGATGTGCTCAGAGGCTTTCTTGCTTGGTAAAATGGAGGTGGGTAAATGCTGGGTTAGTGCCTGATCTCAGAGCTTGTGCCAGGAGGTTACGAGCCTTTGCAGCAGCTGCCCTTCCAGTGCCAGATTACAGGTTTGAACAGCATTCTCATGACAGGTTGCCACAGATTGATTTATTGTTTCCTGCGTTGTAAGAATCTGTCTCTACTTCATTATGATGACCAAAGGTCATTGAGATGGTTGAATATTGAAATAGAAATCCAATTCTTACCTAAATACTGTGTAGATACATTTAAATGCATTCCTCTTTTTTTGTTTTCTAAGTGGTCCATTTCAAATTTTGAAATGAACTTACTGCAACCATTTCTAAATTCTGTGTTTGCTATAAGCTGAAGTTCAGATCAAAAAGATGCTACACTACTTAGTTATTTTCAAATATTGAAGAGGTAAAAAATTGTTCTGCTCTTTAATGACAGCAGGAAAAGGGAGGAAACATCTTTGTCTTTTGAGTTCAATTCAAACTCTATAAAGACACCAGGCTGCTGTGTTACTGTGTTAAAGGTGAACTATTATACAGGTTTCAAGAAGATCAGTGCACATTACCTCACAGCTGCCAGCAGCATTAGAGGTGGCGCAAGCTGGATGAAAACTGAAAAGCTAATTACACTAAATTACACTAAATGTTTTCATAAGGTGAGATCTAAATTTCATCTTGCATTCTGCTGTGCAAACTGAAAACATGTACGTCAGTCAGATCTGGCCTTCTTACCTATACTAGCTGACTGAAGAACACCTTCTTAGGAAAAGATCTGATTTATATGCTTGTTAAAGTCAAAGTAAATGATTAAGAATTATGCAGCTGGTTATTTAGATCATGATTTAAAGCAGAATTATTTGAAACATCATACAAATCTTTAGAAACTGGCTATAACCAATATTTAGGATCAGATTATAATTTAATTGCAGGCTAAACATAATGTTTACATCTTTAATGTTCTTTGGCACACATAATAAGGAATTCCTGTAAAAGGTGGGGAATTTTTAGCCAAACTCTGGTTACACATCACTGAGTCATGACTGGACCTGCTAAAACTCCCACAGAATTTTATGATCCTAAGGAGGTGGTGCCAGTTGTTATTTCATATACATATAAGTAACAATACAGAAGCTCTGGCTGTAGCAATGGTTTTAGATTTTCATCCCCCATCAAATCAGAGCTGCCCTAATTAAGGTAAATCTTAATTTTTGACTTAGGACTTCAAATGTAAAGGAACAACTCTTAATCTTGTTTTTCCCTTTTTGGAGACCCACATTAGGTATCAGCAGGAAAATATTGTTAGTGCTGTAATCCCATCCACAGAAGTCATAGAATCATAGAATCAGCCAGGTTGGAAAGGCCCTCTGAGATCATCAAGTCCAACCCTTCTTGGTTTTTTTTTTTTTTTTTTGGAAATCCAGTCTGGGTTTTCCCCCATTCCGTACTCCAGCCAAAATCCAGTCCGGGTTTTCCCCCATTCTGTACTCTGGAAAAATCCAGTCCAGGTTTTCCCCCACTCCCCCAAAGCGGCCCCGGGACGCCCCGACCGAGGCACCGCAAGGTGTGAACCCCCAAGGTGACACCAGAACAGTGTTTTATTTATTGTAACAAACGCGGAGGATCATGATGCAATGAATTACTTCCAAACCATCAGCCATAACCCTTGTAACTATACAAGCATGCAAGGAGTAAATGCAGTATAGCAGCGTGCATCAGGCACTGGTGTCCATCTCACACTGGTGTGAAGCAGCCACGTTACTCTATCAGTTTCAGAATGTAATGGGGATCCAGAAACATCTGTGATGGCTTTTAAGAGAGCCCTAGAGAAGTGTTTTACAAAGGGTAGATCAGTGAAGCAGTATAGCACAAATTTATTGCTGTCATACCAGACTGCTACTCAGTCTACAGCTCAAAGATGTTGAGGGAGCTGGTTTTGTAAAGATAGTTCCACATAAGTGTTTCATTAGCAGTACATACCTCCTCAGCATGTTGGCTAAAGGACAAATTAAACAGCAACAAGGAAGTAAAAACTTATTTGTCTTCTAAAAGACCAGTATCTATATCCTAAATAAAACAAGTCATCTTACCAAAGGGTAGCTGAAGATTGGAGATTTGAGAACTCCCTTCCATGGGTTCCTATGACCTGAGATGTTTACGTATATTATCTAGTGATTATGTGTATCCAAAACACATGGAACTGCCCAGAGAGTAGGGAGCAGAACCTGGGACTTTCTCTTGCTTGGACATCACTAGGCAATAAATTGAAGGACTTCCACAAGCTCTCTGTGAACTTCTCCTGAGACACCAGAATGTCCAGTGAGCACTGCTCCTTTTCCCAGCGCTTAGAATTAGCTGGAGGTTAAAAGTCCTGCTACAGGTGAAGAACTGACTGTGATTCTTCTCAAAGACAAGTGGTAATTATATTCCACACATCCTGGGGAAGTGCTCAGCCAAAGAGTTATTGTACAAAAACACTGCAGCAGCAATGCTTCCTCTGGCTGCATTTCAGAAGGGACAAAGCAGCAACTTCCCATTTGTTCTGAACTCTTCCCAGCTTTGTTTTCAAAATAAAATCTAATCCCAATGTTCCAAGAGTCCTAAAATTCCCGGATTAAATTTTATTTGGAGCGTCAAAGTCTTATACCAAACAATGCAGTGCTTAGGTCCCTTCGGTCTAATCCCTTACATATCAGCCTGTGAAAAAAATAAAAATACCATGCAATATGCTACGAAAAACAACTTAATCTTCTGTAAGCAAAAGTTTGACTGGGCTAAGTATAACTCCCAACCTAGTCCAGAAAGAGAGATGAAACAAGTGGTCTTATTTAGTGCTCAGAACTAGTTACATTTTACTGTTTATTCACACATCTGATTCTGGACCAAGGTATGATCATAGAATCAAGTCACACCTCTTCAGAAGACATCAGGGAAACATCCCCAAAAGATGCTCGACAGTGAAAATGAAAACCATCTTTGCACATTTTTATATAGAGGAATGTGCCCTCTCTTACAAAGGAAATTGTAATCCTAACAAAACAAAACAAAAAAAATCACCATGTTATTAGCGCAGGGGTACTAAAATATTTGTTAACACAGTGAAAGTGAGAATAGTCAACTTGTGAGGCTAGAATTTTATTGTTCATAGGTCAATAGATAAACATAGCATATTTACTAGAAACTGAAAATCTGAGCTGTTGACATTAGGTCGAAACTTTCTTGGCTCAAGAACTCACCTTTTATTCCAACATATAGAGTTTGTGAAGTATAAATTTCTTACTATTGAATCAATTTCACTATTAGGGAACTTTTCTTATAGACCAAGTTATACATCCCAATTTGGAGAAGAGGTAAACAGACTAAAGCACACACCAGTACGGTAAACTTAAGATACTGGGGTTTCCCGCATGCCATCCCCAATTCCCTCTTTCTGTGCCAATTGTACAAGGTTCCAAGAGATGAGCACGAAGGACAACCTTCATCTGCAGTACAGAAATACAGTCACCAGAAGAAAGACACAGCTATATTGCCATTCAACAATTTTATAAATCTATATCAAAATAACCTAGCTATTATATCCAGTCAGCATTAAAGCAAGGAATTCTCATGTTTACTCCAGAAAGAGACTGAAGTTCATATGGGACAAACGTTGCATAGTTTTCACATCTTGTCTCCTTTACACTTTTTGGTCACCTCACCTGTCAAATCCAACACATTTCTGACAACTGCTTAAACCTTTCTGAAATTTCTGCCAGGTCGAAGTCATTACTGCATTTAGTGCCATATATAATTGATTCAGTTTTTCTTAAGATGTCACTGAAATAAAATTATGCAATCTTAACTGAAAATTGATGCATCTAAGCAGCATTTCATGAAGTAGGTTGTGTCCCTACCTGCGTATGGGATACCAGTTCAGGAATTACTTCCTTTACTACGCAGTCACAGTAAAAGAAAGTAAGTAAAAGGTGAACTGCCATCAAACCCATTAAAAAGCAGGTAAGACTGTTTAGATATTAAAAATAATTTACTTTCCCAAAATAATGTACAATTAGAAGCAGTTTGCACTATTTTAAACACAGAGCTGGAAAGTGTCTGAAGAAAAACTATTAAGTCTGAATCACATTGCACTGAAACAATATGCTGAAATGCTTTAAAATTCTCACTTGGAACAATACTGCTTTAAACCATGAATATTTATTCAGTATTGTGCACTCGGTACGCTGTCACGACAGTTGTAAAGAAGAGTCTCAGTTTACTTTTTCCTGACACCTCCACCACCTGCAAGCATGGTGGCCACCCGAATAAAGATGTTCAGTGTATCAGTGTAGATACCCATGCACCTAGGAAACAAGAAATCAAAGTTAATATTGTTGAACAGAAATAGTATTATTTGGTGTTTCGCACCATTATACTTCATTTAAAAAGCCTTCATGAAGCATCTGTAACAAAATCCAACTATGATTGTCCTCAATGCTTGATACGTCAAAAAACACCCCTGTTTTTGCTCTACCACCTCTGCCAGCAAGAACTATTTACAGAAGTCCTAACAGACAGTATACTGTTCTCCTACAGGAGCCCTGTGCTTTTATATTGTACTTTACCAAGGAGGTAAGGAATTCACCTAAGATCAGACAGACATTTACAAAGAAGTTACTTGTTAGTCACATTTGTTCTTTACTGAGTCAATTAATGCTTTCTTCCCTAACTATTGCACCATTGCAGCTTTTTTATTTAGTGACAAAGACTATTACGTATTTAATGCCTATGGAAAGGTTAACACTTTTTGTATCAGCTAATACTGACAGTTATTTTCAGACAGCAGCTATAAATTCTATCAGCAATGCTTTAGAAAACAAAAATACTTTTCAGAATGCACTGCTGGAGGCACGTGACATCACACATTCAATACTGTTTCTCACAATTCAGACAGATGCTTTCAGCTTTAACTTCACTGTCTTCTCATTGTTATTTTTAAAACCTGTGATCCTTCACGCTTAACGCAATACACTTGAACAATAAACAAAAGGCTATTTTTACAGTACACTTCAATATAGCTTGGGGCAAATTCCTACACAGACACCGAGATCAGCTTTGCTAACACAGAACACTTACGCATTGATTGGGTCGTATTTGGTTACTCCGTAATAGGGAAGAGTTTCTGCACGCTTGACAACAAGCTGTGTATCGTAGAGCAGGAACATGCCAAAGAGCACCAATCCACCGTAAACGGCTACGGAATACAAGCCGGCACCAAAAGCAGAAGTAGGAGGCAAGAACATGGATCCTGGAGAGGAATGTACAATAGTGTCAAAGAAAACTGTGTATCTACTACTCTCAGTTAGGTCAAACTTCAGTTACTGTAACACATGTTTTTCAGCAAGTATTCAATTCTCGGTTTGTGGTGCAGTTTTGATACCAAGAGCTTGAATACACACACTGAAGATGTCACATATACAACCAGGAATTTTGAACACCTAGGGAACTGTGTATTTTTCTCATGATAAAGTACTTCTCTCCCTATGACTGCAATAATGCCCAGAAACACAAAGAAGAACAAGGGGATTGAGAACTAAGATCACATTGACTGTCTTCCCCACTCACCAGCAGTAACTAAAAATATAAGCCACCACTAGTGGGTGTTTGTCAGACTAACATTTCCCAGAACTGTACCTTCACGTTTGTTTTCAAGAACAAGCATAACAGTAGTTTCTGCTGTGCTAGAGTTGCCAGGGCTATATAAGGCAAATCTTAACTGGACAGATCAGCCTGCAACTCAGTGTGAGTTGCACCTTAGTAGCTTAAGTTTATAACCTACTTTATATGACAGTATTAAAACAGTATTTTACCAATGGAAGAGGCAAGAACAAAGCCTAAGCCCAGGCCAAGTGGTCCTCCCATGTTCAGGAATTTTTCACTTGGAGCACACATGGCCACAGTTGAGAGCCCTCCGACGATTCCAGTGGTGTACCAGGCAGCTCTGACCAGCAAGGGACCACCCAGGAAGGCTAGAGGAGCCACCACCGCCCCCATGACACCTACCCAAAGCAAAACAAAACACATGTAAGGTTTGGAACACCACGTCTCAAAACAATGGATTCTTTCCCCCTCCATTCAGATGGCATGGCTCAATCTAATCCACTCACACAACAAAATATCAATGTACTTGACTGTGCACTTATCTAGAAGAGAGCACAACAAATTAACAACCTTAAATTCCATGACCTACTTTTATCTAGCTCTGGAGAGTACTTCAGGGAGCTGGTCTTTGGAAAAAAGACTAACAAAAGTCAACATACTGATCGGTTCAAGACAGAGCTGGTAAGAGATACTTGGCATGGACTAATCAACTACATAATAGCATTGGGAACATGTGACACTGAAAAGCAGCACAGATGTCTGGTAGAATTATCAGTTAGGCAAATAAGTCAGATTTTTTGCTAGTCTTGTATGAAACTTATCTAGTTAATTATTATCATATTAGGTTGTTTAACTTAACAATTGCTACAATAAACATAACTTCTTCTTGGCAGAGAAGCTCTGGAGAGGCAAATATGATTCTAATGTCCAGCATCCACGTGGCTTTGCTGAACCATAAAATATTTCTGTCAAAACAGTTTTGAAAAATGATAGCCACTGTTATTTGAAGTAGGTATTCTTAGTGAGAAACTGATCTGTACTCACAACTTAAATACCTGATGGACACATACCTCAGTAGTAAACTAATACTGAAACGGTTAGCATAGGCAAGAGAGCTTACAGAAGCTAGAGTGTCAGAAAGCAGTCACAAAACCAAAGAGCTACAAAACCAGTTAGTTCTATCCCATATGTCATATACGTATCTCAAGTTTAACTTGAGCCTGACTTCTTCTAGAAGATTATGAAAAAACTAGAGTTCTGTTAAGGACACTTAGGAATTCTTCCCTGACATTCAGGAGTTCTCAATGGTCTCTGATAAACCTTAACTCTCCTACAGCAGTATATAAAAATTGACTTTAAAGTCAAAGTTTTGTTAAAGTAAGAATCTGGTCACACTGAAGCACAGACATCTCTACAACAAACATTAAAATCACAAACCTGAATGCAACATCCAAGCTGCATGTTTAGCTATTGGACTGTTTTCATAGGATATGGACCTGACCAACATTCCAGCACCAATCATAGCTGCAAAAGTCGCACCAATTGCCTGTAGAAACAGAATTACAGAGCTCAAGTTAGCATTAAGGCATATGGTCTCTGTTCTAACCTCTAGTTTAAAAGTCAATAGTGTAATTCTTGTGAAACCAGCAACCTAATTCATAATGAGTGTTCGTCAGTTTTACTCCTGTAAGGTTACAGTCAAATCTTTGTAATATCAGTTTACAGTAATTTTCATTTTATTTTTACTCAGTCTTCTAAGAATACACGTTTATTGGTTAAGCTGGTAACAATCTCAGCTGTGTAAGTTACAGAAAGAAAACACATGGTCCTGCCCCTTACTCTCATTCTCATTAAGGTACCTGAAATGTATTAGCCTTACTTTTTTTCTTGTACATTTCTCCACCAAAGCCAATACTCAGTTTACATCTTTTGCTGCCAATGACCGCCAATGACCTTTTACCTCCTCTTACTGATGATTCCATGCAGAATGGTCAGAAATGTACAACTTTGGTTTATCACCAAGGATGCATTATTTAATTAATCTCCTTAACTTATGTAGGTGTTGGCATTTAACTATTATCATTTCACTCCACTTAACACACTGAATATGCACTAAGCAGACAGATTTTGTTAGTGTTTTGCCTGGATGATTTGCCCACCAGTATTGTTTCAGCGTTGGTAAACAGGAGACAGCTTTGAAAGAGCAATACGGGACAGTACAGGGAAGTGTAAGAATGCACAGAGACCTCCATTTCCATTTCCAGACAGCAACAGAAACAGTTTCATGAGCTTCAGGTAGCTATTTAAAGAGGTTCTTACTTACACAGCTAGTAAGGATGACATAGCATTTTTTTTGCTCATGTATTTTGTCTTTGACAAAATATCAAAGTAGTATAGAAAGTCCACATCAGCACGTAATTAGACTCACCAAATCTTAAATCACAAAATATCATTAGGATACCTGAAGGGTCTTTATGGATAAAGACACGAATGTAAGTGAAGTTTTGCTTTACTTTTCACTAATTAGTTTACATCTCTCTTTTTTTTTTTTATATCAACCATCACATTTGGGGGTATTTCTCAGTAAATACTTTCATTTTTATAACATGAACTTACCAGCCAGGAGCCCCGTGTCATAAGGCTCATGAGTGCTGGAGTTCTGCTTACAGCCACAGCAGACAGTGCTGTCATGCCAATGCTTCCCGCAAAGTACATGTACGTGGACTGAATTCTCTGCTTCACGTAGTCTGGCCAAATACTGAAAAATAAGCAGTCACACACAACTGTGCAGTTACCAGTTTCCAAATGGAGAACAACTAAAAACACAATCAAGCTGTTACATATATTCATAGCTATGGGTATAAGGGAGGTTTCGTAACAGTGATGTGGTCTAGCAACTTCTGCCATGAGTTTACTTTGCAAGGGGGCTGAACCTTTCAATCTTGCTGGTACAGTCTAATGTAACTCTGTAGAAACACAAATACAAATAATTACAAGTTACAAATAATGCTAACTATAATCCAATTCTAAGTTGGAAGTATACAGGGGAAAGTGAATAATGAATGCTTTTAACTACAGAAAAATAGAGAATGGTGCATATATAACAAACTGGTTCCAGGAAAAAGGCCTATGGAATGTGTACTGGGTACACACCAGTGAGCACATTGCCTCCTGAGCAGCTCACAAATTGCTGAGTCACAGTGCACATGATTATGTGACACCACAAGACAAACGTCATTTTGAGAGCCCTAACAATAGTAACAGACCTGGACATGAATGAATTTCTGCACTATCATCTGCTCACAGCATGGACAAAAAACTTTCCCTGATAATACTAAACTTATTTTCTCCTATTACTAAACACATTTTCTCCTATTTTACTCTTTTGACCCATTACTTCAAGGTTCATGGAGAAAAAAACCCAGACACAGCTTACATATGAAAAGCCTCTCACAGATACAACCAGCAAGCATTCAGTATAAATGCAGATAGCCACTTCCAAATACAAATGCAAAGTAAAGCAAAATGTCTCCAGCACACACTTCTCCCAAGCCCATGCTTATCACTAACCATCTTTTAAGTCTGACTGCACAGTTTTGCTATCAGTCACGTTTTGGTTGATCAAAAAGCAATACACCAAAGTTTTAAGCAAAACATTTATTAGAGCAAGGTTTATGCTAAGACACGGTGTTTAGTGGAGACTCTCTTTTCAACAGCTGTATTAAAGTTTAATGAACACTCTCACAGGAACACCAGGGAAAGTGGTCTTAGCAGTAAGTTTTTCAGAAGGTCACCCTTCTGAAGTTATCTGGGGCAAACCTCATAAGACAAATTTATATACTCTTCAAAAATAAATTTCAGATTTAGCAAAACAAAGGAACTCCCATCAATATCCATTTAAGCATATTGGATAATTAAACAGTTCTAGTTTTGCTTTCAGTTATATGCTTTGAAAACCCGCAGAGACAGAGGGGAGGGTTTTCTGTTCAGAGCTTAAAAAAAGTGTAAGCTGTGTGCACACTGGGTGAGCAGATATGAAGGGGAGGGAGATTTGCTTAGTGCACTCTTTAATTAAAAAAAGTAACCCATCTTACTTACGCAGCCCTTTCAATAGCTCCAATCTCACTGGACATGCCCAATCCATAGTAACAGAGGGCCCCCAGGCCAACAGCAGCCCCTCCAGCAACAATAATTTTCCCCAGGCGATCAGCTGTATAAAGAAATAGAAACCCCACACTCTCATGAATGCTTTTTCTTGGATAGTTAACAACATCCTCACATAAGTTTTGCTGTATCTGCAATAGCTGATCTGTGCTAATCTTCCTTCTTAAAGCTCCACTTCAGGTCAGTGCATCACCAGTTCTCAATGAGCTACATGGGAAAAACTTGAGATTCACCCCACCAACACAATACAGCATCACAAAAAAGTAAGAAGAGTCCAGCTCATAGTGTGCCAGGTTTACTGACCTTCATTACAGTGACAGGATTTCCAGTACAAAACCAGTTAACAGAGTCTCTAATGGAAGAGTTCAACTGTCAGTTGATTTTGTATATGATTTCACTATTCAACTTGCTAAAAAACAGTACAAAAACTAGATATTGGGTCCTTTCCTCTCATTCATCTGCCCTTAATGCTTGTTCCTTCGAGGGTTTTTTGGAAGCAATTATATCCACACCAGTTTGAAAAGGGATTTCCAAAGCTCATGGGTAACACCACCACTTGATTTACCATTGCTTTCTACTGCCTGATTTGTGCCACCTATCAATTACTGCTACAAGTGTAAGCCTCAATCATAAACACTGTTATAACTGAAGAACAATTGTGACTAAATACCTTCAGTTGTGTAACTCTAAGACTACAATTTTACCAAGTGTGTTATAGTCAAGACACTATCCAGCCAATATACATAATCTATTTACCAATTCAATGTAATAATTAGACATTTACAAGTCTGTTCTGCTGAACACTAAGTAGAAACCCCTTTGTAAGCCACAGAAATTACAAACACCTGGATATACCAGCAAGCATAGTAAGCCAATTTCTTAGAGAACTGTAACACCAAAACCACTTTTTTGCAAACTGTACACGCTGTAGAATTTTTTTCCTGTAAACAGTTCACAGAGTAGACGCAGAAAGCAACTGTAGTTTATTTTTTGATATCTGCAACCAAATCTCCATTAAGAGACAATAATTTCTGACTTACTAGTTGTCAAAAGCAGCTTAAAGACAAGCAGAGAACTGTTTCCAGTTGTTTGAAGAGCACTAAGCAAACTTATGTAAGAAACAATATTCTCAGTCTCTTTAACGGTTTGAAAAAAACATATTTCTTCAAGGAAGTTTTCAATTGAGTAAATACTGAGTATTTAAAGCAGAACTACTCTACCTTTAAGTGCAGTTTCTGCAGATGGTTCAAACGCTGCTTCTTTAACTTCCTGGCCAAGTTTTCCACGCCTTACACCTGTTCTTACTCTGGTGGCATAACACTGTTGGATTCGGAAACAGCATAAGAAAGATATTATGAAATAAAATAAGACATTCTTATCAACTTACTTGCTACACTTGAAATTGTTACATACTCTGTGCTTAACTCCCAAACATATGACGCAACTGTGTTCAAGGAAAACAACTGAACATTAAAGTTTAGAAACCTTTATGAAAAACATTCACACACTCTACATACAGAACCAATGCAGTGAATTCCAGAAGCTGAAGTTCTCAGACTGCTTTCTTCTGCTCTTGTCCCACCATACTAAACACTGCCATATACCTTTTTGTTAAATGTAAAAACATAATCTTTACTCTTTTTTTGTAAAAAAATATTCTAGCACAATATTTACATTTTACAGACACTAAATTTGGAAAAGCAGCCTGAATTCTTTGCTTTCAACTCTCACCTTGATTTAGAGAACAAACTTTGAACAACGGCCTATAAACTTAACATTTTACAGACAGACAAGCTCCAAGGAACTATACTATGCTACTCAAAGTCTCAGTTGCAAAAGCAACACAGAATAAACTCATATTAAAGTTCAAAAACAACTTTTGAAGTTTTCTTACCATTTTTTCCAGGTAATTTTAAATTAAACTTGCACCTGAGCAGCCAAGGACTCACTCAAAGCTATGAGTTTAACGCTAAAACTCGAGATCTAAAGTATTACCATCAGCCATCAGAGCTCTACAAGTCAGGACCTTTACCATAGCCCTTCAGTTTTGCTGTGTTTAGCAGCTAACAAAATCCCGTCCAAAACTCGAAAACTCGCACATACACAAAGAAACCCAACACATCTACAAACCTGGAACGCTCAAGAGGAAAACACAAAGGAAGTGAAGAATTTGCCACTGGTAGTTTCACCACAGAGGTGACAGAAGAGCAACATCCTCTTATAATTGCTTTCTGCCTGGCTAGAAAGCATGTCTGCAACATCTTCTCTCAATGAAGAATAAATAGACAATGTCTCAGTACAATGACAAGTTTCTAAAGTTGCTGGTTAGATTTGTGATTGTCCTGCCATAGCTCAGAAATCCCTCTAACCTGGGCTACAGCTCTAAACACATGTTGGGACTAAAATAATTACAAAGAAAGTTTTTACTTTAATGTTATATTTAAGACCGTAACTTGGAAATAGGGAGACAGGACAAGAATTTCTGTTCCTCCCACTTTACACAGTAAGGCCTATCCATCGCTAACTGTCTCCTTTAAGTTATTTTTCCCATTAATTCCAAGAGAAAAATAAGTAATTGGAACAGAAGATATCACTTCAAATGCTTTAAAAACCCTGTGGTTGGACTGAGCAATATTCTTCCTTCAGTAATTTAGAGCAGGTACCTCAAACAAGCAGAATACTTTTGATCATTCAAAGCAGGTACCCCATGCAAAGTGATTCTTTCGGCAACACGCTCAACTCCTTAAAATACCTGCTGCTGGGACCATCAGAAAGAGGATTTACATTACCTGGTTAGGCTGCCACAGCCTGTATGCTTTTATATTGGAGTTCCTCAAGGCTGGGGAAGCCTGAGTGATAGCAGGGCGGATAGTCTGGCATGATAGTGCCCTCAGGCACACCAGCCTTGCAGCGAGCATGGTTGCTCAGATAACTTAACACACTGTGTTCCTGCAAATACACAAGAAAATACATTTTACTATTTTCTTACAAGGTTTTCAGACAAGGCACACTTACTACTTATTCTCAACCACAATAAAAGTAAAGAAAATAAAAAATAAAACAAAAAAATCCCCAAATGAAAAAAAAAAAAGCCTACAGTCAAACCAGTATTATTACTATAATTCCTGTAATAAGAGATAAAACCTTCCTAAATGCAGTTTAACTCTGTTTCACTTGTATTTATCTCCCACTTCCATCAGAGACTTCTCTCTTACAGCTTACTAAAAAACAGAGAACATACTACTTTTCATGCCATAAAATAAATCAAGATCCGTTGTGTACTTACATTTGAGTTACCCTGGCAACTAACCTTCACTTTGAGACATAACACTGCATGAGTACTCTGCGCTCCACATAAATGCTCAAAAAGCTGCTCCAAACTTACTTAAACTCCAGCTAAGTCTAAATCCAAATGAGTAAACAGCACAACATATGTGGTAGAAAAAAGTTTTAAGAGAAACTTTAAGCTATCCTTTAAAGAATTAGTTGGTTTTGTGGGCACAGCACTCAGTCAAGGTCACAGCCCAGAACACAGGTTGTGGTCATACTGAGCAGTCCTGTCCAGAAAACACGGACGCCACTCCTGGCCAGACCGACAGACACAGCCCTTGTGTTCCGCAGGCAGTATGAAAACTATCCCTCACTGCCACAAACGGTGCATGTCATACACTCCCACACACACACCCCTTAATTACGAATACACACAACCTCTGATATCACAGGACACCCCAACTACCAGTACCTTTTTTTCAAAGGTTATACCTTACATGTGCAGCGTCCAGTATGATCTAAGAGTATCCTAAATAAAGGTAAACTTAATAAACACGCGTGAGAACAAGCACGCAGAGCACCGGACAGCTCACATTAACCATAGAGACGCGACAGCGAGAAATTAATCCTGCTGCTAGAAAGCTACTTTGCCCTGAAGCAGAGCTATGAAATCCTGCTTCCATAACGGGAAGCACTTTACGAGGAACATCCCGACCTGTCCCACTGCACCCAGATTGGGACGACAAGGCCTGCAGAAACTCACAGTGCCAACTCTGGGATCTTGGCCTTTTTTCCCCTGGAAACTGATACTTGGAGCAACACAACCTGAAGCGCATAAGAGCTAAAACCAGAATAAAACCCCACAGACATTCCTGCGTATTAACTGGCCATAACCGGCACTAACGTAACGCAGCGCTGCGCAGTCACCGCCGCACCTCAAACCCCTCCCGGTCACGGCAGGGCGGCGGCCACGGCCGCCTCAGCCTGGGTGGGCCGCGGACCATCGCTCGTTTTAGGCCCTGCCTCTCCCCACACACCCCCAGCCCGTCTCCTCCCGGCCCGTACCTGCCCCGCCGCCTCCTACGCGCCCACCCCGCTCCGGCTCCGCGCGACCCCAACCCCTCGGCAGCGGAACTGACGTCAGCCCGCCCCTGGCGCTCCCTGCCCCGATTGGCTCGCCCGGCCCACGTGATCGCGGAGCCTGCAGGCGCCATTGGCTGGAGGGGGCGGGGGAGGTGCCGCGCGGCGGCCATCTTTGAGGCGGGTGGGGAAGGTTCTGGAAGCGCGCGGGCGGGGCCGGTGCTGCCGAGGGGCGGCCGAACCAGCAGGGGGCGCGCGGCCGCCCCGGCCGGGTGTGACGGGAGTGCAGGGCCGTGTCAATGTTGTACGGAGATATCAAGAGATACGGATATTGGATATATGGATCTTATACCAATGTGACCGTTAAGTGCCAGCCCGCACACCTCACGGCCCCCGTGTCACCTCTGCCCCTCACTGCCCGTAAATTTAAGTCTTCCCCTTCTCAGGGTGTCACAAGGTTAAGGACCTTTGTACTCCCTTCCCTTACGGCTCAGCAGTCTAGCATGAACAAGGAGATAAATCTCCCCCTTTGTTAACCTCTTTGGAGTTACACCTCTCTTGCATGTGGATTATATTACGTGCTGTAAGGTGCTCACATGCCAGATAAGCATAAAATACAATATTGTGTACATAAATTACAGAAATGGATGCTGCCAGCCCTAATCCCAGCCTTGCAAGGGCACTCCAGAGCCTTTGCAGGGGCTAAACATTCCCCTTTTGGGCTAAACTATTTCTCTTCTGGCAGCTTCTTTCCAGCATCACTCTGCTTGGAGCTCTGAGATATTTTCCGAGTGTAACCCTAATGCTAAACTGAGCCCTAGGAAAAGCAGAGCAGCACTTCCCTGGACTATCAATTCCTCAGGGAAATTTTCTCTCTGAAGTTCTTGCAGCTCAACTCCAACTGGACCTCTGGCTTTTACTCTCCACCAGCACTAACCCTAAACCAAAGGCTCGTGACATGGCTCAGTCCAGACCCTTACTATTATCAGAAGAATTATTTTGGCAGCCTTATTTCTCCTTTGCCAGCCCCATCCCCGCTGCATATCAGCATTTCTTGTTCTCTCCGTGCTAGAGCTAATCCTAACTCTAGTATGAACTATGAGCCGGGCACTACTGAGACACTCAGTATTCTTCAGAGAACTTTTTGGCAAACTGTGTTTGCTTTGGGAGCCCCTTTCCAGCCCCACTACAGCTACAACTCTGTAGTTTCTTTCAACCTTAACACTACATATGGGCATGGTTCTTCACAGCCAAGTAAAACATATTGTGAAAGTCTTGAGCAGGATCAAAGACAAAATATATATATTTTTAAAAAAAGTGTTGAATACAGAATTAAGTGCAGAAATAGAGTTACAGACATGCTTTTGCGAATTGTGATATTAGCCTCTCCATATCTTGGAGACCCTTTGTTTAAATTATAAGAAAGGAAATACAGTGAACTGCTAGTTTGCAGAATGGAAGTCAGATAAGGGAGATCACACGTGGGAGAGGTCTGAAAATGCACCAGCACATATGATCTTGAAGAAGAATTTGAATTAGAAGAATGAAGAAGAAGAATGCATGATAGAAGGGTAGAAATTCCATCAAAGGGGGCTAAGTCTAATGGGATTTGAGGTCTGATTCTTACTTACTCTGACACTTGTTTGCTTTCTGTTGGAATAAATGAAAATCCAGAGCTTTCTCCTACCTTGTAAGAAAAAATGGCAGTTTCAGGCCACAAATACGTTGTTTATTTAGAGAGTTGTAGTGCTTATTTCAGAGTTTGTAACACTCTCTAATTGTTAGGTACTAAAGGATTCATTAGAATAATTAATATTTAAATTTATAATTCAGTTATTAATAGTAATAATTTATGCAAGGAATCAAACATCTCTTTTACTACGGCATATAATCATGTAAAGAACTCTCCTGGGACTTTCAAATAAGATACTCAATCTAGCTTTTTCCCAGCTGTTTCTTAAATACATAGTTTTGTCAGAGGCAACCCAAATTACAGAAACTTGCCTGTTAGCAGATAACTCCTTTTCTACTAGATGACCAACACTGGAAATATTCCAGCTAGCAAAATCTGTGTGCGAGTGAGTAAACAGTGGCCTCTTATGTCCTAAAGAGTTTTTCAGTTGAAAGCAGCAGGTTGGATCCTCTCTGCTGGTGCCACTGTACCTGACTTTCTCTCAGGCAGGAAGGCAGCAGCTTCAGTCCCTGTGCCACCTGGGTCTGCTGCAGAGCTGCAAAGCAGCTGGCTGGGCTTTTGCAGTAGTTGGAGCTCATGCTGACAAAAGCAGGGATAATGGAGGCTCATTGGTGAGAGAGCAGCCAAATGCACACATAAAAATTGGCTTTGTAACTCCAATGCGCTGTTCCTTCATGGGATTGTCTTCAAGTGCACTGTGCATCCACCACCTGGGTCTGGGTCCAGTGCTGTTTAGCATCGTTGTTAATGACCTGGATGATGGGGCAGAGCGTGCCCTCAGGTTTGCAGGGGATACAACGCTCGGAGGGGTGGGTTCTACACCAGATGGTTGTGCTGCCATCCAGAGGGACGTAGATTGGCATGAGAATTGGGCAAACAGGAATGTCATGCCATTCAGCAAAAGGAAGTGCAAAGCCCTGCACCTGGGGAGGAACAGCCCCATCCACCAACACAGGCTGGGGCTGTCCAGCTGGAAAGCAGAAAACTATGGACATATTGGAGAGAGTCCAGCAAAGGGCCACAGAGGTGATTAAGTAACAAGGACAGGCTGAGAGAGGTGGGACTGCTTTATCTGAAGAAGAGAGAGCTTAGAGGACCTTATCAATGTGTACCAATGATGGCAGGGAGTAAAGGAGAAGGAGCCAGACTCTTCTCAGTGATTTCCAGTGACAGGACAAGAGACAAAGGACATAAACTGAAATACAAGACATTTTGTTTAAACATAAGAATTTTTTAGTTTTTTTTTTTTTTTTTACTATAAGAGTGATCAATCAGTGGAATGGATTGCTCAGAGCATTGTGGAGTCTCCATCTGAGGAGATTTTCAAAAGGTGACTGGACATAGTCCTAAGCAACCTGCTTGTGCAGGAGGGTTGGCCGAAATGATCTCCAGATGCCCCTGCCAACCACAGCTATTCTATGAGTCTATGAAGTATTACTATAATGATGATTCCTGAAGGAACTGAAGCACTTATTTTTTTAAGAGTGATATGCACTAATTAGAGGTGTTTGGAAAACAGTAAACATTATCTCTAGGTAATATGTAATTAAAGAAACAAAAATACAAAAAAGCCTCCACAAAAATACTGACTTTTTTGAAAATTGGTAAATTCTTCTTCAGTAATCAAAAATATAAACAGAAAAACCTGTACTGACATAAAAAATTCTTTTTTTTTTTTTTCCCAATAGGCCATGTTTTCAACAACATGTTTTGTGTTTGTTGGAAATCTCACATGTCTCTAGGCAGGATCAATTACAGTTTGATATTAAAGGGTCAATGTCTAACTAGAAATTCTGCAAGATCTGAAAATACCATTGTGAAGGGACTTGAGTATCCTGAAGGAATGTGTGAAGCTGGCAAGGCAGGCAGTGGGGCAGGCTCCAAGCCCTGCCTCTCTGTCAGGCAGGAGCCAGGTGAGGAGCAGCCCTTCACCTGCTTCCCAGCCCTGCTGGTTCCCAGCAGTGAAACTTCCCATAAATGGCTGATGCTAGGGCTTAAGGGATGGTGCTCTCCAGCTGCCATGCCAAAGGGGAAAGCTGATCTGACTGCCTGACTCCCAAAAGACTACTCCAAGCTCTGCTCCTCAAGTCTTGTATAAGAAACATCATGTATTTTCAAAAAATAAAGTCAACCTGTTCTTAGAGATAAATGGTTTGTGAAGGGATTTTGTTGCCTTGCCATGAAAGCAAGGATCACAAGCAATGCAGTCATCTTTCAGGAGACACCACATGATGTACTTTCAACCATGCACTCTGCCTTGCCAGCCACCTGAAATGGGAGAGCAAAAAACCTCTTACATATGGCTCTCTGAAATCTTGGAAAGCCACAGGAGCCACAAGCCCATTATTGTGTTAATAAATAGGGTCAGTGTCAATCTGGAAGCTTAAGCTTTTAACTCGGCAGCTCTGACACCCTCCTGCAATTAAAAAAAAATCTCTGTTGTTCACGTGGCCTTGCTCATCAGCAGGAAATAAATAAATCTGTGGTTAGCACCATTTCTCCTTAGGTAAGCTTTACCATTGAAGTTTTTCAAATTAGAGCTGAAGAAAAATATTTTGAAGCTTTTCTGGCTGTGCTGACTCTTGCACTTTGCATATCTCTCCCAGCAGATTACAGGGGACTTTTGGAGTTAATCTGTTCCTGCTATTCATGTGACAAATGCATATTCATTAAGCATCATGTTCTTACTTTAGATTAGATATCATTAAACACTGCAGTGTAGAGGGAATTTGGGGAGACAGTGCTGATGTCTTTCTCAAACCCTGGCAAGAAAAAATGCCATTAAACAGAGTATTACTTTACCATAGAAGAATAAAGTGTTTGGCTATAACTCCTTCCATGCAGGAGTTTGTGCAACAAGAGCAGGCTGGGATGTGCCAAAAGCAAAGCAGTGTCCATATTTTCTACAAGTGTGGGAATTTTTGGGGTCTTGGTTTATTCAGCCAGATCTCAAAACATTTCAAATAGACAGCTGCTTCATTTCAGTGGTACTGAACTGTGCTGACTCTGAGGTCAGTGTCTTCCCCCCCTTGGCACCTTGTGAGTTTTAAAAAGCATTGCACTGAAACTTGTACTGCACCTTGTATATTTTGAGGACTTGCATGTATATTTAATTAAGCAAAAGTATCTTCAGTCTGGAATTGGAGGAAAATTTTGTGTGTGCGAAGAAATTCCCTATGCACTGTAATAACAAGCACCAGCTGTAAGGAATGTTTTATCTCTCTTGCTAAAATAAAATGAATCCATCATGGCAGGCACTTCTAGTGTAAAATAGTGTCTTCTGGGCTATTTAAGGGATGGATGGATTTTTTTTTTGTGTTAAAAATGGTGTTTTGAGCACAGCAAAAATAGCCAATAGTTACCATAGATATTTTTAAAATTAATTTATATATACATTTGTT